AGAGGTTGGGAAGAGGAAAAGAGAATAAAGGGTTCGAGCAAAAAAGGAACACAGTATAGGAAGACCAGGAAACGAGGGAAAGTTAAAGAGGGAGGAAAGCAAAGGACAATACAAACAACGAGGCTTTCGGCCTACGGTTTTTTTAGTTCGGTTGGCGGTTCAAGCGGTCCTTATATTGCTGCGATAAGCTGACCAAATAGACCTTTTCTGATCTCTCTTCGTACCATGTTCTTTGAAAGGTTTTTTTCAAAGAGGTTCACCGTTCCCCTTTCCCCTACTTTCAGCGACCGAAATAGTGGACTCCGCGTGCAGACGCAGGTAAAAAAATCAGAACCGTTCATTATGAGCAATCAACCGATTAGTGGACTTTGCCCGATTAACCGTCTTAATAAATTCAAGTCAAAACTGCACCCGTAATTGAAAGTAGGTAGGACCCGTTACTCGATGTAGTTTTGTCTTCAGCTGTGTAATTTGGAAAGTGAGAATTCTTCTGTAGCTCAAACTTACTCCTAGTGCTAAGCTTCCTACGTTCTAGAACCTTCAACTGCTCTGGATCATTCGTTGACCAACATTCTGGAGCAAGTTGCCTTTGTGTGTTGTACACAATTTAGTGACTGACATCCTAACACTCCCCTTCAACTTACTCAGTCATCAGTCCGGAGCGGTCGAGAAGACGCGTGAACTGCGGCGTAGGAAGTGGCTCCGTCAAGTAGTTGGCAAGCTGCAAGGTCGACGGTACGTACTCCAGTGCGATGTCTCCCTTGTTGATGTGGTCGCGCACAAAATGGTAACGCAGGTCGATATGTTTCGCTCGCGGTGAGTAGCCCGTGTTCTTCGCGATGCTGATCGCTGACTTGTTGTCAATGTGGATGGTCGTTGCGCCAATTACCTTCAAGTTCATCTCCTTCAGTAAGTGACGCAGCCAAAGTACTTCTTGGACGGCAAGTGAGAGCGCCATATATTCAGCTTCTGCGGACGATAGAGCTACCGTCTGCTGTCGCTTGCTCCTGAAAATCACCGGTCCTCCAGCCATCAAGATGAGGACGCCAGACGTGGAGCGATGAGTCTCAAGATCACCACCCCAGTTTGCATCTGTGTACGTCGCAATGGTGCACCCTTTTGATGTCGTTCGTGAGTATCTGATACTCAAGCGTGGTGTGGCCTTCAGATAGCGCAGGACTCGCACTGCAGCGCGCCAATGGAGTGCTTGGGGGGTTGCCACGTAGCGAGAAAGCTCGTTTACTGCCACGCAAATGTCAGGGCGCGTAGCATTTGCCACGTAAAGTAACGAACCTGTTAGCTCACGGTACGGCGCGTTTGACTTGTTGTCACTGCTGTTGGTATCAAAACGCAAATCTTGACCAGGAATGCAGGGGTTTCGCATTGGATAGGCTTCGTGTTGCCCGAACTTGGTAATCATCCGTTGAATAAATTGTTCTTGGCTGAGAAGAAGTGTTCCATTGTCGCGATCATATTGCACCTGAATCCCCAGAATGAATCGCGCGTCGCCAAGTGTCTTGACCGTGCAGTGCTCGGCCAGTTTCTTCGTGACTTCTTCGGCGATTTCATCGTTCTTACATCCAATTAAGAGGTCATCCACGTAGAGAACAATGAAAACAGGTCCATCTTCTCCGCTCTCCTTCACGAACAGGCAAACGTCAGCACCGCACTGCTGGAATCCCATTCTCAAAAACACCTCGCGGATCTTCTTGTACCAGACAGCTGCGGCTTGCTTCAGCCCGTATAAACTGCGTCGTAGACGACACACCATGCCGTCGCTGGTCTTGATCCCGGACGGTACAGCCATGTAAACTTCTTCTTCTAGGTCTCCGTTCAAGAACGCCGTTTCGATGTCGTACTGCTTTACCACGTAGTTTTTCGAACAGCACACTGCAAGAAACACACGAACAGTGTTCAGACTAGCAACCGGAGAGTATGTCTCCCTGTAGTCAATTCCGTAGGTCTGCAAAAATCCCAGAGCAACCAGACGCGCCTTGTAACGAACGATATTGCCGTGCTCATCGCGTTTAAGAGCAAATACGCATTTACATCCGATCACCTTCGCTCCATGTGGTCTACGTACGAGATCCCAAGTGTGATTTCTCACATGTGAACGGATTTCAGCGCGAACTGCTTCCCTCCATTTGTCGGCATCCGGCGAGCGAATAGCTTCAGCATAGGAAGTAGGAACACCTTCAGCAGCGGCGAGAGCGATTTCATAACTTCCCAGTCGTGGACGCTTTGGGTCAGGCTCGTCGGACTCGTCTTCAGGATCAGTAGGTGGGGGAAGCGCCGGTAGCTCTTGTACGTCACTGTTGACCAGTTCACGCAGGCCAGGGGCCAGGTAGCTGTCATCTCGGTCATCATGCCGTGGTCCACCATTCGGTCCAGGAAGTAGCAGTGCTTCTTGAGATGAAGAGCCGCTCGTTAGAAGTTGCTGTCGTTCCGTAGTCAGATTTCGTGGATGGTTCCGCACTACAAGTTGCTTGCCCGGAGACCTCGGATGATGAAAACTCGCAGCTGAGTTCGACTGCCGCTGTACCAAGCAGCCCAAATTCGAGCGGTTACCCAATAGAGGTTGATCCGGTGGCATCATCATATCATTTCCCCCCCCCCCCTAAACTGCGACTGATCTTGGGTTGCTAGCACAGGGCGCACGCTCACTTGGCTCGGGCCACTCAGTGTCCACGCCCGATTCTTATCCCCGCTGTCCACTTGCATAGGCTCCGCAGGCGTTCCATCACAGTCAATCTCCATATCAGCGGGATCATCACTATCTCGAGGTATAGGTGGAGAAATCGGCGAATGAGAGCATTCATCCCAGTTGTAGTTGACCATGTTAGGAGCTTCAGTGCTGCACCGATGGCTTCTGTACTCGCTAGGCGGTCGCTCGTCCAGTACTAACGTGCGTGTTACCACAAGTCTTTCGTCCTCGAGATCCCAGACCCGATACGTCTTCGAGGCATCGGTGTAGCCGAGGAAAATACAGCGATGTGCTTTGCGGTCCCACTTGGATCGCTTGGACTGATCAATGTGCACGTAACCTTGAGCGCCAAAAACTCGAAGATGGTCCAACCATGGCTTAACGCCAAACCAATTTTCAAATGGAGTACTTGCTGGCCTCGCACTGTTGGGGATACGATTGATGATGTATGTCGCGGTCACAACCGCTTCACCCCACCAGCAAGTTTCGAGCTGCATATGGTGCAACATCGAGCGCGCCATTTCCACGATGGTGCGATTCATTCGCTCCGCTAGTCCATTCTGTTGAGGACTATAGGGTGCTGTTGTCTGGTGCACAATCCCTTGGTTGAAGCAGAAGCTTGTAAACTGTTTGGA